CAATGAGTAAGAGTTCCAATCTCTCCATAACCTCGCCAGCATTTGTTGTTTGCTGCCCTGTTGACTTTGCTATTGTTGGTGGGTTAAAATTGGGTTGTTGTTTTTAAGTGCAGCTCCAGCACTTTTTAAAAAAAAAACAAACTTTTATTTTATACTAGTTTACTCACAAAGTTCATATATCTTGTTTTTCACACCAGATTTTTCCAATTTCCTTTACCCATCCTCCCTCTACCCCTCAAATTGTGCGACCCTATGTTTACACCCATCCTCACCCCCCTGCTTCTACCCTCCCCCCTCGGATCCTCATACCCATTGTACTAGTTATCTTTCTATTTCTACAATAATGGTCTTATGCAGTATATGTCCTTATGGGACTGAATGAGTTCACGCTCATAGCTGTTTTGATTAGCCTGCTGTTACTGTGTACTGTCAAATTAGAATCAAACCATAGCTGACCCTCCAGCAGATTTTCAGACACAGTTAATCTCACAGGAGGAAACTGCCCATCTTTTCCCCTGCAGAGCAATTGGTGGATTCAAACTGCATGCCTTCAGGATTGCAGCATAGCTTCTTGCCCCTAGGTCACCAGAGCTCACTTAGTCCATTCTTAACTTCTATTTGTTGTTATGTGCTGTTGAGCTGACTACAACTCATAGCGACCATACACATAATAGCTCTGAACTCTGCCCTTTTCTGAGCTAATCTCACTGTCTCTGACATACCTACCCCATTACCTCAGTCACTGAATCAGTCCATCTCATCAAGGGTCTTCCTCTTCTGTGCTGTCCCTCCACTCTTCCAAGCATGATGTCCTTCTCCAAGGACTGGTCCCTCCTAGCAACATGCCCAAAGTATGTCAAACAAAGCAAAATATGCCAGGACAGACCTGTTTGTTCTCTTTGCTCTTTCTAGCACTACAACACAAAAGCATCAACCCTTCTTCTGTCATCCTTAGTCACTGTCCAACAATGCATAGCAAGTAACTGAGAAGACCACCACCTGGATGAGGCGCATCTTAGCCTTTAGACTAACATTCTTGCACTCTGGAGAGGTGTCTGACAGCAGATATTCTCAATGAAATTTCATCTTTTGATTTCCTGACTGCTGGTGCCAAGAATACTGACTATGGAACCAAGCAAGCTGAAATTGTTAACAACCTCAATCTTTTCACTAGTCTTCTATTGTTTTCATTTCTTTCTTCATTTACTCCTTTAACTAAAAGGAGCCAGGGCAGCATAGTACTGTCGTGTTATCCTGCTAACTGAAAGGTTGCATGCTTCTTGGAAGAAACATGAGCAGTCTCCTCCTGTAAAAATCCATAGCTTCAGAAGTCCAACGAAGGTTTACTATGAACCTGAATTAATTTGAGGCCAGTGGAGTTTGGTTTCCCTCAACTAGAAGGAAAGTGTCGAGAGAGCAAGGCTTTGATCAGCCTCATTTACTGCTATCTACGCATACCTAGACCAAAGTCTGACACACAGTCACTGCTGCTAGTTCCTACTGATTCAGTTCTAACTCATTGCAAGCTCATATCTGTAGAACAGAACTGCATCATAGGGGAGCTCCAGTAGCCTAGTGGCAAGAAACTCCACTGCAATCCCAAAGGCATGAGGTTCGAATCCACCAGATGCTCCGCTGGAGAAGGAGGGGCAATCTCCTCCTGTACCAGTCAGATCCAATTTGATGGCATACAGCAAGAAAAGGGGAAGAAAAAAAGAATCACAAAAAAACCTGCCCCAGAACAGCATCATAGGGTTTTTAAGGCTGTGACTTTTCAGAAGCAGATTTTATGATAAGTCTGGATAGGTTTGAACCATTAATCTCTGTTTGTAATCGAGTGCTTAACCATTTGTGCCACCCAAGAATTCCTATTGGCACCTGGTAAAACCTCAAAAATGTTTATTGAATGGTGAGTGCCTTGACTTTATAATAACAATAATCTTAGTAGTTGTTGTTAGGGGTTGTCAAGTGGATTCAAACTCAATGAGATCCAACATGACAGAGTAGAACTGCCCATAGGATTTGCTAGGCTTTATGGGAGCAGGTCACCAGGTCTTTCTGCTGGGAACTGCTGAGTGGGTCTGAACGTCCAACCTTCTGGTAATCAGTCAAGTGTTTAACTATTGCACCACCAGAGCTCCTCTCATTACCATGAAGTCAGTACCAACTCACAGCTGATGCTTTCCAAGACTGTAATCTGCAACAAAGGAGACTGCCTATCTTTCTGCTGTGGAGCTACTGGTGGATTCAAACTGCCAGAAAGACTTGGCTTTTGTTTTGTTGTTATTGTTGTTGTTGATTGCCTTCAAGTCGAGCATGACTCCTAGTGACCCTATGAACAAAAGGCCTGAAGCCCCTCAACAACTATCCACATTTATCAGGGCAAATACCTACAGAGGAGGCTACCAGAGATCCCTTATAGCAACACTATTTAGCATTTGCTAAGGGATATTTTAGGTAGCTATCCTAAGATAATAATTTTATATATCTCATTGCATCTCAGCTGACACAATGGCCACTCAACAGATAAAGAATCTGAGCTAGGCAAAAATTAAACTTGCCACACACAATCACACAGCTAACAAAGCAGAAGAGTTCAAGTCACACCCAATTCTCTTTGACGCTCCCGTCCATGCTCTTTCCACTCAGTTGTGCTGCCTTCTTTGTAGTCTGTAAAAAGGGCATGGGGAACGTTGGGAAGTCCTGGTCTGACCTCTCCTAACTCCACAAATAGGAACTGTCTTCCCATCAACAAAATCCACAGCATACAACTGATTCCTAAAAAACAAAAAAAGACCCCAAAATCAATCCTATAAGGATGGACATACACCAACCACCCACTCCCTGCCACACACACTTCTACTAATCACTGGATCCGATATTTGCTGCAAACTACCACGCAGACTTTACAAAACTCTTATTACTCAGTTGTGGGGTTTATTAGGGAAACAGGTTGGGGATGGGGAAAGCAAATTATATCACACAGTTAAAGTCCACGTTCAGTCCACCAACATAAATGCAAGAAGTCTCTGGTTTCCTTAATTATCCAGTAAGCTTTGTCTCATAGTAGCCTTAAGTCAGCTCTTCCTTGACGCGTTCAGCAAGCAAAATCTTTAACTGTGGCCGCATCTCAAGGGCTCCCTCAGGCTACACCTCCCCAGTCTCCCTACAGTCTGGTTAGTTCTCTATGTCATGCTGGCCTCTCAACTGTCCATGATGTTCAAGACACTGAACTGTGCCTCTGCAGTCCAGGCAGCTAGAGACCAAGCCCTCAGGGGAGGGTAAAACAATGGATAGAAAAGCCATTCGCAAAATTCCTACCACCACAGGTCTCTTTCAAAGATCAGCGTAGCAAACTCTTCACAGACTTTTATGGCCTTGTTCTCTTTCCTGAACTCAGAACTCATGCTCCCTGGTGTCTCCAGAATGCCCCTCTTCACCTTCTGCCTCCTCACAGTCAGTATACACATAACCCAATACCTCATCGCTCCCACAAAACCCAGGCTCCTTTAAGAAGACTTATTCTTGGGCCAACTTTAAAAATATGGCATTCAATATCTGTCAATATCCCATCTCATCCCGTCAACCTTGCAACAACTCATTCTCACTCTAGACATTGGCCTTTTTCCAAATTGCCAAGGTCCAAACTCCAAAGCTTTCTACATGCTGTCCCTCATGTGTAGGAGAGTCTCCAATCTTCCTCATCCCTTGGGTGAGGCTACGTAACATTCAAAACAAATGTCATTTACTCAAGAGTTCTTTCCAAGATCCCTTGTCTTGTTCTCCTTGGAGAAACTTACAACTACAAGTAGATGTCTGGATGTGTTTCTACCAAGCTGTTTCACTATGCTTTCATCTAATTAAAACCCTTTATAAAATATGCAATTCAAGATCTTCTAAATGGTTGCATTTTGTAAGTTTTTCAGGTATGAGATGGAGTTAGGTGACATGTAAAAGCCTCTTGGGTAAAGGCCAGATGAGGGAAGAAAGAGTGGGAGGATATATATTTCAAAGTAATGCCCAGCTACTCTGTTTACTAGCAGTATAGTCTTGGGCAGTCATTATTTTCCTACCCACCCCACCCCACCGTTTGTAAAAGAGGAAGAAAGATGCTTACCTTGAAGTGTTGTTGGGTGGTTTGGAAATATTCACAATGTTCTGAGAATAATAGTGCCACCTTTCACAGACACAAAGATGACATGTAGCTAACTGTTCAGGCTCCTAAGGGAAAGAAATAGCCCCTAGTGGCCCAAAAATTACATTTCAAATACCTTTAAATACCATAGCCTACTCTGGTCAAATGCTTTCTAGAAACCCTGATGGACAGAGTAGCTAGCAGTCAGCTTCCAAAAAAAGCAAGCACATTTCAGACGAAGAGAGGACAGTGGCAGTCTGGCCAGCAGATCAAACACCTGGCTGTCGTTTCAGCATTCCCCAGGCCGTACCACAAGTAATACATGCCTTTGCCATGGGAAATACCTGCTCTGGGTATCTGGAGCCTTATATCGCTTTGTCCTTTGTAATAGTGCCACCTAGCGAGCATGTAGATACACTGCGGCTTACTTCCGACTACCCAGGCCATTGCTACAATATTGGTCACTTAGGCTGAGGGGAATGAGTTCCACCTCAATTTATTTTCATATACTGCCAAGTTAATGGTTTAAGACTAGAGATGCACTCCTTTCATGATTCAACACAAGAAGGTCCTGCTGCTTCTCTTCTTCCTAAATAGGTCCAAACCCATGTGGTTTGAAAGGCCAGGAATATAACAGTTCATTTTCTAAGTGTGATAAGGATTCTTAGGAGGCAGCATCTTTATGAGTGTCACTGTACAGATGAGAACAATAAAGCTTAGAGGGCAAATGGCTAGACCAAGCAAAACAGCAGCACGGCCCGACAAGACCCTAAGCCTCTTGTATTTACATAATAGGGTTTTTGGGTGTTTTTTTTCGCGACTATATCTTATTCAGTGTGAAGACATTGCCAGATCCATTCTCAGGATGCTCATAAGCTCGGGGACACCTGGCCCTTGTGCCGCGCGGACTAGTGGGAATGCAGGATTAACACAGTATGGCAAGTCTTCCCTGTTTTTTGTTTGCCTCCTGAGTTCTCGGTCATCCTCAGCGCTGACTGAGAGCGGGGAACTCGGGTCCTACACTAGAGAGGGAACTCGGGCCTCAGAGCAGGAACAGAGGTGCCGCGCAGTCAGCCCCCCGGAGCACGCGGCGCCGGGTCACGTGAGAGGGGAGAGCACGAAAAGGACCCTAGCGCGCATGTACGCCCGACGTAACTACGTACTGAGGCATTGAAAGAGAGGCGCCCGAAGACCCAGTCACATGTAGAGGGTGGAAGCCGAGAGCTAGAGGGGCGGGAAAGGCAGTGATCACGTGAAAACGGCCAGCCCAGGGAAATCACGTGAAGGGGGTCGAAGGCGGGGCCACCGAGGAGGAGGAGGAGGAGGTGGACGAGGAGGAGGGGCGCGCGGCTTCCGGCGGCTGGGGGGGGCCAGCGAGCGGAGGGGGGGGCCCTGTCCCGGAGGTGGCGGCGGCGCCATCTTGGCGAAGGGGGGATCAGGAAGTGCGG